ACAAATCTCTAGGTGTAGCAGAAAGGAAAATGTTTGCCATTTTATATGAATTGAGGAGACACGTGTGTGAGACTAAATTTAGAATGAAGTGAAAGTAAAGAATTGCAAAGTAACTCGCAGCCAGTTGTGCAAGGCATCACTTATGACAAAATCATGATGAATTTCATACAAACCACATTACTTTTTTTACTGTTTGAGTAATTTAAAAATTTAGTCTCAGAGACTGCTAATGCACCTGTCTTATCTGAAAGACATTTCAAGATTCAGTTAAGTTTAGACAAGTATGAATAATAGGAAAATATCTTCTCAAGCAAATACATACTCCTCAGCTGCGTATAGGTAGGGTAACAAAGTTAACTGTTCTGAAAATCCAGTTGCATCTTTATTACAATTGCCTTTTCACTTCTTTCTGCATTTAAAATCACCCTGTCATATCCTTAGGTGTTTTGGGTTTTTTCCTCCCCCACAGGTATTCATGTTCTGTGGAGCAATCTCAAATAGCTACTTTTGCTACCTTGATCAGAAGGAGTTGAAACCATGGATGGATTAGGAGACCTGCATTCAGGAAAGGTTTGGAAACCCTTTAATTCTGATCCTCTCCTCTCAGCTGCTAAGAATGGTGGTGTTACCTGGTGCTGTTAACAAAGCAGAGTCTGATCAAAAGATGTTTTAAGCACCTCACTTTTTTGTGAGGCTGAAGTTGGGGTTGAAGTTCATCACTCCAGTCACAAGTGGTGTTCCCTAGGGCTCAGTTTTGGGGCTGGTCTTGTTTAATATCTTTATTGATGATCTGGATAAGGGGATTGAGTGCTCCCTCAGTAAGTTTGCAGATGACACCGTGTTGGGCGAGAGTGTTGATCTGCTTGAGGGCAGGAAGGCTCTGCAGAGGGATCTGGACAGGCTGGATCAATGGGCTGAGGTCAACTGTATGAGGTTTAATAAGGCCAAGTGCCGGCTACTGCACTTTGGTCACAACAACCCCATGCAACACTATAGGCTTGGGGTGAGTGGCTGGAGAGCTGCCCAGAGGAAAAGGACCTGGGGGTGCTGGTTGACAGCCGGCTGAACATGGGCCAGCAGTGTGCCCAGGTGCCAAGAAGGCCTACAGCATCCTGGCCTGGATCAGAAATAGTGTCTCCAGGAGGAGTAGGGAAGTGATTGTGCCCCTGTACTCGGCACTGATGAGGCCGCACCTCGAATACTGTGTTCAGTTTTGGGCCCCTCACTTCAGGAAGGACATTGAGGTGCTGGAGTGTGTCCAGAGGAGGGCAACGAAGCTGGTGAAGGATCTAGAGCACAAGTCTCATGAGGAGTGGCTGAGGGAACTGGCGTTGCTTAGTCTGGAGAAGAGGAGGCTGAGGGGAGACCTCATCTACAAGTGCCTGAAAGGGAGTTGTGGTGAGGTGGGTGTTGGTCTCTCTTCTCCCAAGTAACTAGCGATAGAACGTGAGGAAATGGCCTCAAGTTGCATCAGGGGAGGTTTAGATTAGATATTAGGAAAAATTTCTTTACTGGGAGAGTGGTCAAACATTGGAATAGGCTGACCAGGAAGGTGGTGGAGTCACTGTCACTGGAAGTATTAAAAAAAAAAACTTGTGGACGTGTTTAGTGCACATGGTGGTGTTGGGTTGATGGTGGACTTGATGATCTTAAAGGTCTTTTCCAACCTTAATGGTTCTGTGATTAAAACTATTCCCAGTGTAGTATGTTGAATGCTTATAAAATCTGCCTATGGATTAAGCCATGGGACGACAAAAAATAAATGTTGCTTGAATGTCTTTTCATATTCTCACTTTAATCATAACTGGAATTTTAAGGCAGATCATAACTTTAAAATTCTTACTCTGAAGAGTATCGTGTTCTGCAAGTCTCAGTGATTTTTAACATGGTTACTCCAGACTAAAGTATGCCTTAACAAAAAGTCCAAGAAATGTGAATGGGGGAATTTCTGGGCACCAGAGAGTTGTGCATGAGGATTTATTGGGTGCGCCAACAAAATTAAGAGCCTAAAGGTCATTGTAGCCAGCTTAGAATGAAGGAATTCCCCATGTGTCAGTGGAGATGAGAACCAAAAGGAGTCCTTAAGGTATCTTTCTCCTTGCTTTCTGTTCTGTGTACACCCTGCTTAGGATTGAGCCTTCATGGTTAACTGCACACACAAGCAGCACAAAGTAATATCCCAGTGAGAAAGTGAATATTCCAAATGTGGACTTATATAAGGAGTGTACAGAGATGGACAGAAATGGCATTCCCCCACATGTTAAATATGAGTAATATGAGGTAATAAAATGATTATGTAAATTAATGTAGAATGGTGTAACAGGTGTGCTTATAACTGAATACAAGACAGAGTGAGCAATATTGACAGACAGCAATACTGAGTAAAATTTATGTGAGGCCCTGTGGAGGTTAGTAACAGTTCTTATAAATAGTAAAGTATAGAGAGCTGAGCTGAACTGAAACTTGAGTCCCTTTGCTACAGCTAATTACAGGCTCAGGTGGAAGACAACTACAAGTTTCTCCTCGTAATAGTCTGCTTACTTCAAGCCAAATAAATTAAGAATTAGATGCTTGGGGGGAAAAAAAAGAGAAGATAAACCCTACTTTCTTGCTTGAAGTACAATATTTTAACAAACAGTAATTTTTTTCTTGATAGAATGTTAATATAATGTAAAATTGTTACCTACCTTAAGTTCTCTAAAAAAGATGCTACTCCTAGCCCACTCAACAATGGAGAAGAGCGTTTGGTCAGCCATTTTACACATAAGCCCAAATGTGTTGAGCTTCTCGTGTTTGCTTCTGTTGGCTTGCTCTTGCTGCAGATATGCCATGATCTTAGCTTGGACTTGCGGCTCATCTGGCTCACATTTCAAGAGTTCCAATATCAGATGTGGAATACTTGCTGGTGAGCTTGTCTGATAACTATCCATGTACGAGTAGCCCATTATTGACTCTGGTGAACTAGTGTAAGGGTCAGGGTACTCAGACTTGATAGCACGGCTTGGAAAATGTCCATAGCTTTGGTAACCTTGCAAGCTGCCATGGGGCGGCATCGTCATGCTAATTGGAGAGGTTACAAAGGGACTTCTGTCATAGTCTGTAGGAGGCAAGGCAGTATGGTTCAGAGGTAGGCCTTTGGAGGCAGAATGGATGTTCTGGATTGCAGAGGATATTGTCAGGTCAGTCGGCATTGCTTGGATCACCTGAGTCATGGCTTCCAATTTAAGTCCATTTGCTCGGATAAGAGCTTTCTTCTGCTGCTTCAGTGCCCTGTCTCTCTTGTACATTGGTCCAAACTTGTTTCGACCACCACGCATTCGGTCAGCTCTCACAGCTGTCAGGGGATAGGAGGAAGTAAACAATAATTAAAACTCGGAATCAACATTCGTTAATGAAACATACATTAGGACAGAGCAGAAATGTAAAAAATGTAAGGTTGTTTTTTCAAAATTCGAAGTAGCACTTTTATTCCTAAAGAAGAAAGATTTATTTTGACTTAACAAATGTCACTTTTTTCTGGTAACTTAAATATCACATGCATGTATTACTAACATAGAAGGACTTCTCTTTACATTGATTAGGACACAGGGACAAACACAATGGTTGGCTACAGGAATTTCACACCTGCTATGGGATCATGTGAAGATCTCAATGTATATTTGGTTTTATGTCAAGCTACTATGTCATTAAGAAACAAGGGCTGATGTCCAGAACTTGTCTGAGACGTATCCAGTGGACCACATTGTCTCATTATAATCATTCCATTACTGCCTTCCACCGCAGCAAAACATCTGAAATGTAAATTGCGAAATGTTCAGTAGTCACAAAGGGCAATATGCTTTTCTTGGCAAAAAGGAAATACTTCCTTTTGATGATTCTGTTCAGGTTGCTGTAAAACTTTAAGAGAGTTCTAGTTAGCTGAACAGCTCTACGGAAATGTTAAGCTGCAGTTGGAATGTGCAGAGAGAAAGCTGTCAGCTTGCTGCCTTCCACACGGAAGGTGGAAACGAAACAGAAACTATTGACACTGTTCTGGCTTACAATATCTCTGGAATTAGTAATAATTAAAACAAATCCACCTCAACAGCTGCCTTGGGAGTCGTACTGGTGGTCTCTGTCACAGCAGCATCTGTCACCGCAGTATATATGTAATGGACTAGCGAGGAGCTCTCACCAAGCCCACCTTGCCTAACGGCAATTAGATTGAAAGAGGAACCCCTGACAGCCTGGTGACATGTTGAGACTGCTGAGATTGCTGGAGGTTAAGTTTTTGAGCTTTTTATCTTAGGGATTAGTAGAACATTAAAAATTTATTATGAATGCTAGATACGCATAATACTGTACATTATCATAAGGACTTTAACGTTTAATGATTTTTTTTTTTTTTGGTCCATGGTAATTTATGAACTAGACTTTAAGGCTATATATATATCTCGCTATCGGGGAACTACACTTAAATGTCACAAGTATATATAATTATGGAGGCTCGTGTTCCTCCAATTTTCCAAAGGAGAAGTTGTATGGATGTGTGGATAAGGAAGCTAAAGTGTATTTTCTAGAGTACCTTTAAAACTACAGGCACTTTGCTTAAATTTGTAGCAAAAATGCTGCTGCTAATATTCCTGTTGAATGTTGATTTTGAGCAAAATGCAGGAAATTAAAATAATTAAATCACCCTGCTGGTAAATGTAATTAACTTTAAATCTGTATACATAGTATCCTCCCAGGTATTCTACAATCAAAAACTGAGCCAAATTGGATTAGCAAATGCTTCTGTATAACTCCTATAGAAATTAAGGTGAACTGCATGTAATATATCATTGTCAGCATCTGAGGAGTTAAAAGTGAGAGTAGAAAAATGTATTTTATCCTTATTCTTAATGTCAACAATGAGAAAAGGATTCCAGATGTCCTGTTATTGTACTATTTGAATTTGGAAAAACATGCAGTGATTTGGGATGTTTAGTGCAGTGTGTCAGTGCTAGCTCAGTCTTGTGGGCAAACAGAATAGTATTGAACCCATCAAACTGCAGGAGGCTGATATTTTTTTTTGTTAATCTTCAGTTATATCAACAGCTTTCCTTTGCCAGACTCAGGTGATTGGGTCTTATCTTTTATGATTCCCTTAATGGTTTATGGTTTCCCTCCTTGGCCTGATTTTTTTTCCTGGTTAAGTGTCCAGGGTAAATGCCATTTCAGTACAACTGTAAGAATAAGAAATTCAGGAGCTTGTACTTGGTCAAGCAGAAATGTCATTTGCTGTGAAATCTGAATTTTAATATTTTTATATATGAGAGTTAGAATGAACTGTGTATGAGTCTTAAATTTGAGTGGATGATAATTTTGTATACAGTCTCAAAGGCTATTGTACACTTTTCACTGTTCTCTGTACATGAGAAAGTGAAATTAAGTCAAAAAGTATACTTCAAAATGTCTTAATCTCATTTCTAATAGCATCTCAGGTGTAACATGGCAAAAATATAGGACACAACTTTAGGGAAAGGCAAGTTGGTGTGAGGAAAAACTTTTTTTTTTAGATTCTCTGTTTTTAGCCTTATTGTCAGAAGAATATATATAAAAAACCAACTCTAGACAAAAGATAAATAGAATCAGATCACTCTCCATAGCAATGACTAATTTTTTTCTAATCTGGACACTTCTTACATATTTTATTTCCTCCAAATTAAGTCTTTTAAAAAAACTGCAAAACTATTCTATCCAGATCCATTCATTCACAAACTCTAAAATACTGAAACATCTATACATATATTAAAAAAGAGGATTATGGTTTTGACCAGTTGTTAGGGATTTACCATTTACTAATTAGATTTTTTTATAAAGCAACAATTTCATTGAGCATACAAACTCACCTTTTACTATAATTTCAAAACCACAATAAATATGTAGCTTTTAAAATAAAATAGCATGTAATAACACATATGTAATCCTATAACTTTAAAAATTAATCTATAGTGTAGTTGAAAATATCAGCAAGACTATATCTCTTACCTTCCAATTTCATTCCAACACTTAGACATTTTTGAAATCGACAGTAAGGGCATCGTTTTCTCTGTGTCTTGTCAATCTGGCAATTCTGATTTTCTATACAAGTGTACCTTTTGTTATTCTGGACTGTTCGTTTAAAGAATCCCTGTATGATAGATAAAAAAGTTAGCCTGTTTTGCTTGAATAGCATGTTTCAGCATTTTATTTTATGGAAATCATTGTAACATTTTTCAGACATTGCTCAAGCACTTAGGAAGTTACACAGTTCATTTTAAATTATAGTGAGATGTACCCAGGAGAAAACCACCAGACTCCAGAGGACATTTTCTTGTGTTAGTGCTATGTTTTATAGACATGTGTAGACTTGGTAAGACTGGCTCTAGACTCCTGTGCCCCTAACAGTCGTAGCAGAAATAGTGAGTCTGACCAGTTCCTTTTGTATTCTTTAATCATTGCAAACTGATTAAAGTCTTGCCTTTAAAGTAGTTTTACATGAAATAGGGAGGAACACTGTTGCAAAGATACAAATACAGACTACCTCTGTGCTTGGCTACTGTACATCCCAGTGGTGCATGCTAGAGGTATAATGAGTGCTGCTTGTTCATTTCTCATTGATTATTTTTTAATGAAAATATAATGTGCCAAGTTAATTTTTCCATGCAACTAAGTATTTTAAATTGCATCATTCTGGCAAAGGAGTTTTCTTTACAGTGCATTACTTAAATAACCCTAAAGAACTTTAAAAAAAAATTTACATTGCAAATTTGACATGTCATAAATTCATAAGTATTTAAACACGTTAGTATAATAGAACCATGCAGATACATCTTCCAATATGATAAGTTGCATTTACAAATATTTTATACTCATAATTAATGAATGATCTAAACCAAATCATTAGTTACTTGACTTTGTGTGTCAAGTGAGCTCTGACAGTTATAGTTTGTATCAAAACAGTGCATGGTCACAGAAGTTTACTTTGTAATATTAAAGGATGAAAAATCTTAAAGCTGCATTAGATATTGCAAAGCTGATCTGTATTGTGGATACGTTTCCTACTTTATCCTCCGGGAACAGAAATACTCTGAATGTATATAAATAAACTAAAATCAATATTTAGGACAGGTAGGAATGAAAGGTGTTATAGAACTACATCACTTCACAACAGCAAAATACTTAAAGATAAAACTACAATGCAAAACAGTCCAAGTTGTTTCCATTTGTGCAGATGAGATCTCTTCAAGAGACTTTTAAAATCCTAAAGCTTTTTGGTGGTTAACTTTTTACATTAGTGTAACAAGAAATTTATCAGAAATAAGCCAAATTATTACATGTCTGATTATATATTTTTTTGCTTATATTTGAAACTTTTTTGGTTGTACTTGTGTTTGTATGAAGTAATTAGTACAGAACCTTGCAGCTTTCACAGGTGAGAAGTCCATAATGGTACCCAGACACTTTATCTCCACAGACTGGACACAGTTCCTCAAGGTCTTCATCATAAGTGTAATTCACCATTTTAAACTGAGACACTGGGGAAAGGAGAAATAGCATATTCAATTAGAATTTATGTTAATGACTCAAATTTTCTGCAACTGTTCTCATATAGAGTGAAAGCTCACTTACACCCCAATTTGCAGTGGTATGTGTGCGGGGGAGGTTTTATTTTTAAAAATACAGCTTGCATTGAGACATGCAACTTGTCATCAACAGCAAATCCGCATGATACCTGGCAAGTGGAACAAAACCCATTAACTCCTCAGTTTTATGTTCTAAATATTTATATTTACGGAGTGCCCTTAACTTAGTCAGTTTATGGAGTAGGAAACTAAATGAATTAATTTAAATCCGAAAATGATCAGGGGCAAGTTTAAAAAAAAAAAAAGCAGAACGAAAAGATTGTTTTACTTGCGTATTGAAAGTAACTAATTTCGTTCCCTTTAAAGTTTTCTTTCAACATCAGCCTGCAACTATTTACTTTAGCCTAAACTTGTATCTTACAGACCCAGCACTTTTGCGCCGCATTAAATGCAAGTTACTTTCAAAACCAGCTTAAAAACGTCCTCTGCGCCTCCCAAACTTGCTGTCT